CCTCTTGGAGCCCCTCCCATGTGCAAAATATCTATCTTCCTATTTCCTATTATCTGTATTACATTTTGCTCCTTATTTATCTTTTCTGGTTTCCCATGTAAGAGGAATATTTAAATTTATATGTCCAATTTCAAAACACTGTGTTCACACAACGTGCATTAGTGTTTCTAAAAATGACTCGTTTATCTTTTTTTTGTACTGGGGATTGAACTCAGGACTTTGCACTTGCAAAGCAGGTGGCAGAACCACTGAGCTAAAGCCCCAGCCCGTACTCATTTATTTATGGCAGAGTAGTACTCCACTGTGCATAAATATCACATTTTTTTCATGCATTCATCTGTGTATGGACATATAGGCCGCTTCAAAGATTCAGCTATTATGAGCTGTGCTGCTATAAACACAGGTAACGTTGATTCCCACAGTGATTGTTCTAATTTACGTTCTCACCGACAACATAGAAGCATTCCTTTTTCCCTTGCAGCCTCACCAGTATTTGTTGGTATCTAATTTCTTCATGATGAGAATTCTTTCTAGAGCAAGATGGAATCTCAGTAATGTTTGAATTAGCATTTTTTTGAGACAGGGTCTCACTGTGTAGTTGAGACTGACCTGGCACTCCCTTTGTAGCCCAGGCTAGTCTCTCAGATCCTCCTGTCTCAGCCTCCTGAGTGCTGGGATTAAAGGCGTGTGCCACCACGCCCGGCTAAATTAGCAGTTTTAAATGACTAGAGATGTTGAACATTTTCCAAGAATTTATTGGCCATTTGTAATTCTGAGAAGTGTCTGTTCCTTTCAGTTATTCATTTTTGGATTGGGTCTTTTATTTGAGGGGATCTAATTTTATTAAGCTCTTTATATATTCTACATTAATATGTCTTCTGTCCATTCTAGCAAAATTTTTTCCCATTCTGAGGGTTGTTTCTTCACTGTGTTGCCTGTTTCCTTTGCTGTACAGAAGCTTTAAATTCAATATGATATAACTGGTTGAATCTTGTGCATTGGGGTTCTGTTCAGAAAGTCCTTGGCTACACCTACATCTTCAAGAGTTTTGCCTATTTTATCTCCCCACAGATCCATTTTGATTTTAGTTTAGGACACGGTGAGATAAATGAGTCTAGACTCAATCTTCTGCATGTGGCTGTCCGATTTTCCAGCACCACTTATTAAGCAGTCTATCTTTCCTCAAGCTTATGTCTTTGGCCCCTTTGTCAAAGACTAAACAGCTGTGGGTGCTTACGGTTGTTTCTGCCCCTTCTGTGCTGTTCAATCAGTGCACATGCCTGCACTGTGGCATACCATGCTGTGTTAATCACAGGAGCTTGGCCACATAACTTCAGGTCTCGGATTGTGATGTCTCCTGCTTTGCCTTTGTCGCCCAGGATTGCTTTTGCTATTCTGGGTCTCATGGATCTACATGAATTTTAAGGTTCTTTTCTCTAGATCTGTGAGAAATGCTATTGGAGTTCTGACTGGAAGTACATGGAATCTGTTTGCCACTTCTGAAGTATTTCAATGATACTGTTTTTGCCTATCCAGGAACAGGGGATATCTTTCCATTTTCTGATGTCCTAATCAGCTTCCTTTCTCAGAGTGCTGTAATTTTCACTGTAGAGCTCTTTCATTGCTTTGATTAGGTTAATTCCTAAGAATTTAATTTTTCTTGACGCTATTATCAATGGTACTGTGTGTTGGTTTTGTATCCTGCTACACAACTAAATGTATAAATTCTAGGAGTCATTTTGGAGGAATTATTTTTTTGAGTCTTCTACATAAAAGATCATGTCATCTGTAAATAATGGTAATTTGACGTCTTCATTTCCTATACGTATACCTTTTTTTTCCTTCCTTTTGCCTGATTGCTCTGGCTAATGTTTTGAGAACTACATTGAACAGGAATGGTAATAGCAGACATCTTTATCTTGTCTGTGATTTTAGAGTGAAAGCTTTCAGTTTTCCCTCAATTTAAATGATTTAAATGACACTGGCATTGCTTGGTCATACATGGCTTTTATCAGATTGAGATAATGTCCTTCTGTATTTATTTTCTTCAAGAACTTTATTATGAATGGATGTTTGATTTTGTCAAAGGCCTTTTCTGCTTCTAATGAGATGATCACGTGGTTTTGTCCTTGCCTTTATGTGATGTACTACACTTATTTACTTGTGCATGTTGAATCATCCTGTATCCCTGGATGAAGCCTACTTGGTCATGATTTATGACCTTTGATGATTTGTTGCATTCTGTTTGCTAGTATCTTGGTGATTTTTGCATCTATGTTTATTGAAGAGATTTATCTTTTTTGGTTGAGTTCTTGTCTGGTTTTGGACTCAGGGTAATGCTAGCTTCCAGGAATGACTTTGGGAGTATGCCTTCCCTTTAAATTTCATTAGAGAGTATGAGGAGTATTAGCATGAAATCCTCCTTGAAGTTACTATAGAGTTCAACAAAGAATCTGCTGGGTCCTGGACTTTTCTTAGTTGGTAGGTTTTTCTATTGCTACTTTAATCTCATTGTCTGCTATTGGTTTATTCAGGTTTTTTTTTTTTAATGTCCCTTAAGATTCAGTAAATCATATGCATATAGGAATCTGTTCATTCCTTTTGAATTCTCCAATTTATTAGTGTACACTTTTATGAAATAGTTGCTAATAATCTGGATTTAAGTGATGCCCATCTTTTCTTTCACCTTTTAGATTTCTAATTGCATTGACTTCATTCTTTGTTTTGGTGAATTTGGTTAAGGTTTGTCTATTTTGTTTATTTTTTCAAAGAACAGGGTGTTTGATTCACTGATTCTTCGTACATTTTTTTTTAGTGTAAAATTTGTTAATTTGTGCTCTGATCTTTAAATTTTCTTTCTTGTACTAGCTTTGGATTTGAATTTTTTCTTGTTTTTTTCGGACCTTGATGTTCATCCTTAGTTTATTTACTTGGGCTCCTTCTGTTTTTCTGATGTGGGTATTCACAGCTATAAAGTTACCTCTTAGGATTGCTTTCATTATCTCAAGTTTTGGTGTGTTGTGCTAGCATTATTGTTTCATACTACAAAATGTCTGATTTCTTTTGTGATCCATTAATTATTCAAGAATATATTAATTTACATGTATTTCCATAAATTATATGATTTCTAGTTTCATTGTGCTTTGGTCTGATGATATGCATATACATACACACACACACACACACACACACACATATATATATATGTATATGTATATATGAATGAATAAATTCCTCTGTATTTTTGAGTGGTTTCCTTCCAGGGCTGCAGTCTTGGAATCTAAAACGTCCTATTCTCCCTGGCTCTATGGCCAGTGGGTTGGTAAGGTAACCCCCTGTTCCAGAGACCCTGGTGTCACATAGCCCAGATTGTCACAACCACACAAGCAGAGGAGTGTCCTTGTTCACACTGATAAACGGGGAAGGCAATTAGTCCATGGTCTCTGATGGATGTCAGCAGCAAGGTAAGGGCTCAGTCAGGTCCCTGGATTTAACGCCGACACTTAATCCAGCCACCTCTGAAAGCCATACTTGTCAGGCCTGGCAACCAGTGCCCATGTCCTTCCTGGGCTTTTGCTCTGTGGGGTGGGCTATCTTTAGCCTGGCCTCTCCCTGGCTCTCTCACCCAGGCCCCACGGGAAGGTAACCTTGAACCCTTGCAGTGGAGAGCTGTTCTATGGCTTAGTCTAACACAGCCCCTTTCCAACATGGGGCCAATTAAACTCTCTGGCAAATGGCAGACACTCGCCTGGGGTTTCTCCTGTTCTACTCTGCTTTGAAGGAGTCACTCTTGGAGCAACATGCCATGCAGCTTTTGCAGTTTAGAACAGCTATGTACCTTTCTCCGGCCTAGTGCTGCTGACCAGGTCTGTAATTTCTCACTGGATCTGCCGACCCTCAGATTGCTTTCTCTTCTGGGGCCCTGTCCTTGTCCACCATCAGTTTGGTCAGCCGGCTGGCACCTCTGCTGCCCTGTGCCTGGAGGAAACAGTGCAGAGCCAGCTCAGAGTTAATGCGTGGCCGTGGCCAGGTGCAGAGTTGGTTGGGGGCCAACACGGGGATCGGTGTGGTCTCTCTGTGGGTCCATTCTGAAAAGCTCTGCATTCTTCAAAAGTGGTGCCAAAACTGAAGACGTCTCACGTGTCAATTACTCGCCACTGACTTTTACAGGAGCTAAATTCCTTCTGAACTGCAGAGGCGAGGGTGAAAATGGAACTTGTGGCTTAAAACAAAGCCGTTCATACACATAAGCCCACACTCTACTCTGTCCGGGACTGCTCTGATGTCAGGGTCGGTAGTCTGAATTTAAGGTCTGAGGCTCACAGCTGCCGGAATTTTATTCTGCTTCGGGAAGCTTGTCCTTGAAGACATTTAGTTTTCCTGCTTTCACACTGGTATAAAACCTGGGCTACATGAGGCAATTACTGTCTAACTCATGCCTCTGTACTGTAAGTTCTGAATTAAAGCTTGAAATGTCAAGGTAGGTCACAAAAAAAATCTTAGCTGGAACTTTCCTTCCCCACTGCCTCCCTCCTCCTGGATTCTGATCTTGAATTATAAAGAACAGACCCTATATGTGCAATCATTTGTTTATTACCCACTGAGGATGATGTGTAATTATTTTTACGAATGGAAATGAACAAAATTACAAGGTGATTCACTTACTAATGAGTCTTTCCATGCTACAAAGCAAGCTTGCCCACAGGGTCTGAATTGTGTTATTTTTATTCCTGCTACCTCCAGGCTGAAGATCAGCTTGGTAGCCTCAGATTCTAGCAGTAGGATATTTGAGAGAGCTGTGGCTGCCAAGCACTGTTTAATGTCTAGTCCTCTCGGGCACAGCTTGTTGGTTTCTGATCTTCCTGGAACCGAGTGGCAGCTCCTGGGGACACACTGTGAAGACGCCCTAACCCCTTTCCCTTGCTAATAGTCCCCGTGTGTCTCCTGTGAGGAAGCAGAGGTTCGGCAGCTTCTCACCTGGGCATGTTTTCATTTCACAGAGAAGATGAGCCCACAGGCCGAGGGGCCCGCAGCTGCCAGCCCGACCCCGGAGGAAGAGCTCCAGATGGGCAGTATGATGGCCAAGCGCGCAGAAGTCATCAAAGAGCTGATCCAGACGGAGAGGGACTATGCCAACGACCTGGAGCTGTGCCTGAGGGAGGTGGTTCGGCCCCTGAGAGACAAGGAGGTAAAGGCAAACATGAGGCCGTTTGTTTTTCCCTCCCACGTCCTGGATAGGACACCAGCTCCTAACGAAGTGGCTTCTGCCTTGGTTGCAGTCTGACGTTGATGCTGCCCAAGGCAGAGCCCTGCTGCGCCTCTGACTGGCCAAAGAGACCGCACTTTACAAAATACAGGGAGAAAGAAATTCAGTTTTCGTAAATTCTGTTCTTCTTTGTATTTCTATGAAACTGGTAACAAACTTTGAGCAGCAGGGTTTCCACAGGCTAGGAGTGATGTGCTCAACTGAACTCAGTGCCAATCACAGATTCAGAAGAGAACAATACCCACCCACATGCACACGTTGAGAGCGCGATTGGTCCTGAGTAAAATTCAACATAAAAACTGAATGTGAGTAAAATGCTCTCTTTGGTGGGTCTGGCCCCAGACAAAGCTTAACGTGGTTAGGAGTTAATCATTGTTCCCATTAGTCCAGGGAAATTCCTGGAGGGCATCAGAATAAAGGCACAAGGATATTTGCCTTGGAATGAAGGTGCATGTGGGCGTGCAGACACACAATTATTTCACGCATTCACACTCATGCGCCCTGCACTGTTTTCAGCACTGATTACAGTGGGGTGCAAAGCCCCGCCCTGTGCAGGGAGGGAGGAGTCAGACGACAGAGTGCACTGGCAGCGCCCAAAAGGCCACAGACACTGGTAAGCATAACTGAGGAAACCAGAGCAGGGATGAGGGGGAAACAGAACGGAGCTTCTCCAAGACAACTGCTCCCAGCATGGCTGCGACGCCCCATCAGACAACGTTTTAGATATATATGTCTATAGAATTTACATAACGTGATTACAACTACAGATGCTATTCGGAGATATACATGCTTCACTCGGCAATGGTGTGTGTGTGTGTGTGCGCGCGTGTGTGTGCGCGCGCGTGTGTGTGTGTGTACAACAGCCTCTCTGCTGAGCCGCTGAGCCTCCCTCTCTAAGCCAAGGACTTGCCTTGCTGTATCCTTACAACTTCTGCATAATTAACTTTACCTTTGGTGCTGGATGGGTCTCATCTTCATTACTGCCTATCTTAAAAGCAAACAAGCCACAATAACTCTCAGAACTAAGAGAGTTACCCAAAATTTCTATATTTCTGTCTCTCTTTTTAAATTAAATATAAAATATTTAATCTGTACAAAATAGATGTGCTTAAAATACGTTTCAAAGTAAGCGATATACAGGAAAATGTCTTCCCTTGAATTCATGTGCATAGGTGTATCCACTGGAATAAGTTTACTTGATATGAGAATATTGTCAACTTTTAATAACTAATTCTGTTACATTTTAGGTATACAGTACAGTTACATTCATTATTGAGATCTTGTACCTTTACGTGATGTATCTTGGTTATTTTTTCCCCATCCCTTGCCCTCCCTTCCCTATTTATAATAACTTTGTTTCCATTTTTTCCTTTTCTCATATTTTCCCTTCTTTCCTTTCCCCTCCCCCTCCCCCTCTCCTTTAGAACTTTACTTCCTATTTCACATTATCAATTACATATTTTGATCCTTGTTTACACTGTTTTTCACACCAGAAAAACTATTCAGTATTTACACGTGTGTCCTATTTATTTCACTTAAGAGTATGACCTCAATGTGCATCCATTTAGCTATGTCTCTAGTTTCTCATTCTTTATGGCTGAGTAGTACTCCATTAAAAAAAAACCTCTGTTTGATTGACAATTGAGCTGTTTCCAAGTTTTAGCTATTACAAACTGTGCCAGTATAAACATGAGTGCTCATATACCACTGTGATATGATTAATTCTTTTGGGAAGGCATCTGGCAGCGGAATTGCTGGGCCAAATGGGACTTCCAATCCTAGTTCTTTGGGATATCTCCATACTGATTTCCACAATGGTTGCAGTGGTCCACACTCCCACCAGCAGAGGAGCAGGCTTCCTTTTCCCCCACAGCCCCAGCAGCATTTGTTACTGGTTGATTTCTTTCTGGGGTGAGGTGGAATCTCAGTTATTTTCATCTGCATCTCTCAAATGACCAGTGACGTTGGACATTTTTTCATGAGTTTATTTGCTATTTCTACTTCATTGTCTGGGAAATGTTTGTTCATTTCAGATGCCCATTTTTGGATTGGATCTTTAAATTTGGGAGGTCTTTTTTTTTTAAGTGCCTAATATATTATAGATAGTAGACTTTTGTCTGAGAAACAGCTGATAAAAATTTTCCCCCCATTATGGATTATCTCTATGCTATTGGTGGTTTCTCTGGCTATGCAGAAGCTTTTCAATAAGAAGAAATCCCACTTGTTGATTCTTTGTGTTAGTTCATGCACAACTGAGGTCTTGTTCATGAAGTATTTTCCTGTGCCAATGTCTTCAAGAGTTCTACCTAACCTCTCTTCCAGTTGGTTTAGTGTTTGTTTTAATATTTAGATCTTTAATCCATTTCAATTTTAGTTTAGTGCATGGTGAGAGATACAGGGCTAGTTTTTATCTTTGGTAATTTGAACCCAGTTTTTCTAGCACCATTTATTAAAGAGGCTATCTTTCCTTCAGTGAGGGCATTTGAATCTTTTATTAAAGATGAGGTGGCTGTGTCTGGAGTTGTTTTTGCATCTTCTCATCTATTCCAGTGATTCTCAGGTCGGTTTCTTTGCCAGTAACATGCTGTTTTTGTCATGGTAGCTTTGTAGTATAGTTTCAAGTTGGGGATTGTGATACCCACTACCTTGTCTTTGTTGCCTAGAATTGTTTTTGCTATTCTAGGTCTCTTCTGGTTCCAAATGAATTTTTGGATTGTTTTCTCAAGGTCTGTGAAATATGCTATTGGAATTTCAATTGAGAGTGCATTGAGTCTATATAGCAGTTTTGGAATTATGGCCATTTTCACTATTTTGGTTCTTCTTACCCAGGAGCAAGGGATTTCCTTCCGTTTTCTGATATTCTCTTCAATCTCTTTTTTCAGAGTGCCGTAGTTTTCAGATTAGAGGTCTCTGATTTCTTTCATTAGGTTGATTCCTGGGTATTTCATTTTTTTGGATGCTATTGTGAAGGGAGTTGCTTCTCCAGTTTTTCAGAGAGTCTGATGTTCATATATAGGAAATCTATTGATTTCTGTGTGTTGACCTTGTATCCAGGAAGTCTCCTGAGTTTGGTTATTAAGTCTAGACGACTTCTGGAGGACTTCTTGGGGTCTTCTATATAGAGTATCCTGTCATCTGCAAATAATGGCAATTTGACTTCTTCCTCTCTTTATTCCTTTTATTTCATTATCTTGTCTAATTGCTATGGCTAATGTTTCCAAAACTATATTGAACAGGAGTGGTGTAGTGGACATCCTTGTCTTGTTCCTGATTTTAGTGTTAAGGATTTCAGTTTTTGACCATTTAATATATCGGCTCTTTGTTTTCTCCCCACCCCCCTGTTTATTGGTACATTTAAAGTAAATGATACAGTTACATTTATCATTGGGCTCTTGTACCTTTACATGATACGTGTTGGTTCTTGTTTTTCCCCATACCCCTGCCCTCCTTTCACCCGCTTCATCCTTCCCTATCTACAAAGTTTGGTTTTCCATAGGTGGCTTTTATCAGATTGAGGTAGACACCATCTATTCCAATATTCTGTGGGGTTTTTATCATGTATGCATGTTGAGTTTTGTTAAACACTTTTTCTGCATCTATTAAGATAATCATATAATTTTTGTCCTTGGCTCTATTTGTATAGTGTATTACATTTATTGATTTGCATATGGTTGAACCATCCCTGCATCTCTGGGTTGAATCCCACTTGGTCAGGGTATATAATCTTCTGCATCCTGTTTGCCAATATCTTATTGAAGATTTTTGCATCTATGTTCATTAGTGAGGTTGGCCTATAGCTCTCTTTTTCATTTGGGTCTTTCTTTGCTTTGGGGATTAAGGTAATACTTGCTTCCAGGAGTGAATTCAGGAGTGTTGCTTCCCTTTCAATTTCACTGAAGAGTTTAAACAGTAGTGGCAGTAGTTCTTCTCCAAATGTCTTATAGAATTCATCAGTGAAGCCATCAGGACCCAGGCTTTTCTTGGTTGGTAAATTTTTAACTACATTTTCAATTTCATTGATTGATATTGGGTTGTTTAGAATCTTTAGGTCTTCATTCAACTTTGTAATTCATACATATCTAGGAACCTGTCCATTTCTTCTGTTTTCCATCTTATTGGTCTATAGGTTCTTGAATTAGGTATTGATAATCCTCTGGATTTCTGTTGGGTCCACTGTGATTTCACCCTTTTCATTCCTAATTGCATGGATTTGAGTCTTTTTTTTTCTTTTTTCTTTTATAAGGTTTGCCAATTTAGTTTATTCTTTCAAAGAACCAACTCTTTGCTTCATTGATTTTTTGGTATACTTCTCTTAGTCTCCATTGCATTGATTTCTGCTCTGATCTTTATAATTTCCTCCCTTGCATGAGCTTTGGGTTTTCCCTGCTCTTTTTTCTAGAAGCTTGAGGGTTCAACATGAGGTGTTTGAGCTCACTCTGTTTTCCTGAGTATTCACTGCTATGAATTTCCCTCATAGGACTGCTTCTATTGTGCCCCATCAATTTTGATATGTGTATTGACTATCAATTAATTGTAGAAACTGTCTGATTTCTTCTTTAATTTCCTCTGTGACCTAGTGGTTATTCAGAAGTGTGTTGTTCAATTTGGAACTGGGGATCAAACTCAGGTTCTTGTGCTTGTGAGGCAGGTGGCAGAACCACTGAACCAAATCCCTGGCCTGAAATTCTTGTCATTTCATTTGCTATTGATCTCCAATTTCATTGCACTATGGTCTGATAATATACATGGAATAACTTCAATTCCTTTGCAGTTAAACATGTTCCAACAGCACGTATGTGGTCTACTATGAGGAATGATGCATGTGCAGCTGAAAAGAATGTGTAGTCTGATTTTGTGGGGTGGAACACTCGGTAAACATTTGTTAAGTTCATTTGTTCAGAAGTTCTAGTATTTCATTCTTC